CCAAGCAACAGGGTTAAGGCACAGTGTGAAAAGGCGTGGGCATAGGGCGTCGCCCTGAGGCAGTCCCTTGTGAAATCTGATGGTGGTAGACGTTTCGCTTCCTTGCTTTGTAGTCGCTACGATCTTGGTATTCCAGCTTGCGCTCAGGTGTTTTATCACTTTACCAATCCAGGCGGGTACCCTGTGTACTTCCATCATCTCAATCAACCAGTTATGATCAACAGAATCATACGCTTTCCGAACATCAACCCATGCCATGCTTAAATTGCGTTTACCTCGATGACAGTCCTGAGTGACCATCCTATCAATCATAAGGTTGTCAGTCGTTCCACTACAGCCAGACTTCGCTCCCCTCTGTTCGCCTTCCATAAGATCATAGTCATTCAGGTGTTTATCCAATGGGGTCTGGAGGCATGAGGTAAACCACTTATAGATGTTATTCAGACAGGTTATGGGTCTTTGGTTTTCACTTGAAAAGTCTCCTGGTTTAGGTATTAAGCGTTATTATTATTATTATTATTATTATTATTATTATCATTATCATTATCATTATCATTATTATTATTATCATCATTATTATCCCTATCATGATTATAACTATTTTTAGGACGACAGGTGGATGACGGTGGAATGCGAACGATACCATAGTAGACTTTCTGAGCTGGTTGCTACAAAGAAGGGCGAAAGCTATGCTAATACCATGTCATGGATCAGGGCAAGAGTGTCCTTTGCGCTGCTGAGATCAGCATTACTTTGCTAAAGAGGCTTGCGAGTTTCTTTGAGTTGTCGGACACTGACTCGCAAATTGAAAAAGGACATGCTAATATTTGCTAAGGCATTGAGCCAGCTATTTCTGGGGAACTCTAGCCAAAGCCAGGAATACTGAGCCAAGAAGTGTTTGGCAGTTTTGCAGTCGACATTATTTTATACCCAATACGATGTTTTTAGACTTTTTGTAAAGCAGGTTTTTAGCCTAGTTTTTGTCACATTTTTTTGAAATCTAAGCCATTATCTTTTTTTTCTTCTTAAATATTTGATTATTATGCAAATAGATATTACTTTTATTGGTATTGATAGTTGGTATTGACAGAGTTATTGTTAATTGAGAAATAATATCATTATCACCATTCTTTTTATCATTATTATAATTATTATATTGTTATTATTATTATTACTACTAAAATAAGCCGGTGTGTAAATGCATCGGGGGCTGAGATGACAAGAAGATCGAAGTTGAAATGGACAGAGCAAATGAATAAGGACATTCTGCGATGCAAGAAAAAAGGGAAGGAACAAACATCGCCATTAAATCCTCCATGTAACCGCAATGTAGAAGGAAGGGTTTTATTGAGGTCATGAAAGAACTATGGGACGAGAAGAGTTATGCACACCTTGAGCTGAAAGGTAAAAATCTGCGAGATCAGGCCTCAAGGCTGGAAAACGTGCAGGGATGTTTCATGGATGACTATGGGGAAGATGCAAGAGCGATAAACGCCGACGGGGACGAACAAAGTGCACTTTCAGCGGCGGCCGTCTGACTATAGTCAGAAAAGTTTTGAAGACGAGGATCAAAACACCAGAGAAAATGCTAATTTTACTACACAGAGCCACTCGGATTCAACTGCGACAACTAAACCACTAGTCAAACAGATAGTGGCACAGACGCACGAGCTCCCGGACGATCATGCAAGAAGAGCACTACAGCAATGTAACCGTAGAGATAAGGAAGCACGCCCTATAGAAGACCTAGAGGAAGCGAAGAATGCCCTTCCTGCCGACCTTGCTGAGGAGAAAGGGGCATCCAGCTGGCTTACAGTCATTCCAGTTAAAGATGTAGACTTAAGTTTAAATAAGAAAGAATTCAAAGATGCCAGATTCAAGGACATAAGGATGTGCTTGATTTAGAAGCCGAAATGCTAGATAGTGTGCAATGATGTCCAAATTGAACCGGTAATTCAGGAGATAAACGGAGAAGAGTGCTGACACCTGGTACGAACAGAGCAACGGATGCCCGGCTCGACATTCATGCTCGTGGCTTCTGGGAGCGGCAGTGCTCTGCCTTTTTTGATGTTAGAGAGTGTTACCCGACTGCAGTCTTAAAGCCTTCCCACAAAACAAATCTACCGCCGGCATGAGAGTGAGAAAAGAATGAACGCCAGCAGGGTGTCAGAAGTCGAACGAGGCTCCTTTACACCATTGGTATTTACAACCACCAGAGGAATGGCTGAAGAATGCCAGAGGTATCACAGTAGACTGGCTGAACTTTTATCAACCAAGAAGGGAGAGGATTACAGTCCTACAATGTCATACAATGGCAGATTTGAGGCCCACAATGTTTCCACTGCCAGAAAATAATATCGATTGCAAGAAAAATCGAAATCCTCCGACCTGGCTTCCAAACACTTGCGTCAAGTCATGCGTGGGGAAGGCGAAAGCCCAAGCATTTCCACTGTAGACGAGGGTGATGCTTCCAAATGTTCTTGGAGCAAAGACCAAGAGATGATGATAAGAGATCTGTTTAAAGAGGAGATCAAAGGGGAAATCTGTGACAATACAAACGGCGAGGGAGAAAATGGCTGAAAATGAGCAGGTGAAGGACGGGGACCCGAAGAAGATTCTTGACAAAGTTCGGAGGATGTGGCGTTTTCCTTCCTCCACACAATCAGAGCCTGTGAACCTCCCTGACGAACAAGAGACTCTTGAACAAAGAGTGAAGAGATATCTTGATCGACCTTGGAAAATACAGACCACAACAACAGAGGCAAGTGGTGTTCGTAACCCATTTTAATCTTTGGAACTTGATAGGCTGAGAGCTATGTTTAATGAGATCATCACGACAGCTGTACCAATCTCAAAGCCCAAGGTCAAAGATATTCTTCAAAAGGAAGATGGGGGAAAGGAACTCTTACAAAAAGCCCCGTTAGAAACAAATCGGTAACAATTGATTTAAGTCTGGACAAATGTGTTAAATGTCCAGCTTACATGCTTAAGCACCTCCTCTCTTTGGTATAGTTTTTATCCTGTCCCCTTCTATATTTTTAAGCTCAATCTGGTACCTAAAGATGTTGCCACCCCGAGGGGAAGTTAGTCGCGTTTAAATGCATTGTAACTCGAATGTTTGCTCTACGGAGTAAAAATGTTACGACATTCCTGTCGAATTGTGAACGGTCTACCTAATTACATAGTTTTGCACGCTTATCTACAATGTACTGCTATCAAGCGTTTTGATATTTGCTAGAGATTTTGATAAAGTTCACGTTACTATGATAGGTTAGACTATCTAATATATTACTAAGTTATTATTAAGTGGATAACGGAGCTGATTGTTTGTCTTGTCTCCACGTCTATGCAGATGAAAGAAACACAGTCAAAGTGTTGAATGAAATGTTGGGTTGTTCAATAAATGAGACTAGTCAATGTTTAGAAACAGGTGAGAAATTGTATCCAAAGCGGCTGAAAAAGCACCAAATTTGTTTGTGTTCTGTTTGCATTAAGTTTGATAATGAACAAGGAAAATACCTGCCGCTTCTATTGCACTGAAAGTGAACGTTTTTCCTTTGAGTAATACCTGCAAATCAGCGTTACATAAGTTCCCTGTTAAGGTCACTTAAGTGCCCTATTCAAGTCGCCAAAGTTCCCTAATCTCACTAAAGTTCCCTAGTGTCGTCACAAGTTCCCTAGTGTCGTCACAAAAATTCCCTAGTGACGTCACAAAAGTTCCCTTGTGACGTCGTTAAAGTTCCCTATGCACGTCACAAAAGTTCCCTTAGTCATAAAAGTTCCCTATTGTCTATTTTCGTCACCAAAGTTCCCTGTTTTTGTCACAAAAGTGCCCCATTCTTCTGACTCCCTCTCCCCCCTCTCTCTCGCGGTAATTGTGCCTGTGAAAAAGTTTCACTCATTTAACTGCACTGTAATTATAACCTGCGTACTTGTTAATTCATGGGAAAGGCGTTACCTTTCCTCTCCAACAATTCTGTTCATTTTGTTGTACGATAACAATCTCTCTATTGATTTCTTTGCAAATCTCTTAATTCTCTTGCAATTTTTACGGTGATTATCTTATTTTGGTTGTATCGCACCTCATCAACGAATGCACAAGAATCAAAAGAGGATCCTCTCGGTAGAAATTTTATGTGAGCGAATTAAATTATTCAAGACCCACCTGATGAGGAATTCAGCACTCTGTAGTGTGCCACAAATCCTGCCCCTGATGAGCTCCAATCTGAACTAAAATTCATGAAGATATTACGACCTGTAGAATACACTGGTGCGGGAAGACTGCTTCCACAGCTTTTTGACAAACGAGTGTCGTCCACCAAATAAGTTCCATCATAAATTTCCACACTGTCACAGCTACACCCAAGACAATATTCCACATCAAATTCTGTAAAGTAGATGAGAACTCTCTGGCCGAAGGGTGCCACGATTCTCCATTGACAACTCTGTAAGCTATGATAATTTCCAGGGTATCCAGGACTGAATATGGAGTCATTTCTACTGTATTTAGGATATATCGTTTGCACCCAAGAGGGGCACGCTGACGCAAAAAGAAAAAAAAAAAAAAAAGCAGAAATAAAATCACTTAAGTTATATCACAGCAGTTCACCTTCAGCCTGTTAAAGCAAGATATGGTACTCCAGGTCAGCCCTGACTGTATCTTACTTGCACCAGTCTTACAGATAGTGTCATAGTTCACCGAAAATTTAAGCTTTGACTGAGGAAATCTTAAATTGTACACTCATATCTAACCTCAGTTATCCCACTATGATATCAAATCGGACTAGAACTTACCTTGGACAATTTGAAGCTCGGCGGCGAGAAAAGCTGAAAATATTTGAGATATTAGTTACAAATTGTCCCAATCATGAAATATTCTAAAAAAGGTAATTCTGATAAGGAGCCTATTGGCACGCATGAAAACACTGATGCTCCTTCAATACGCCGATTACAGCTTTCGAGCAGAAGTGAAGGCCAAACGGTTAGATAGTATTGTGAACATCAACAAGTCCGATGCACACGTTTGCAAACTGACTTGGTTCTTTCGCTATTTATGTGTTCGCATTTTGAATAACAAGCAGGAAGACATTGAACGTAACTGTCTCGCGTAAGTGGAAAAATTCAAGGCAAATGCTTAACTCGAGTAAGTAACGCCTGTTTGCAGCCTACAGGATAAAACTTCCGGATGGCCAAGAATTGTGGCCTAGCCTCCTTCAACACAAACCAAACAATATCACGAATCACAAAGATCACCAAAGGAATAATTCTATGTGCACAAAAAGCATTATCCATAGAGTCATATGATAATTTATGTGAGTGCCAAACAAATCTATCAATCCAATCAAATACCGATTTCATGTGGGTATACAACACCAGTATTGGGACCATATGATAATCTAATTATCAGAGAAGTACGCGACTGACTAGTTATAAAAAGATACATTTTCAGTGGCTTGCGACCACCCACGTGATCACAGCAAATAAGTGAGAAAATGAGTGAAAAATTGAGAAGCAGCTTGCCATGGTAGTTTCACTTTTTCCTTATTTTTATTCAGTCTGTTAGGCATAGGTATTTGCATTTCAAGCTTGCATTGGATATTAAAACCCTCCAATTAGCACAGTTGTCCATGCTTGTTACCAGTTACTTGACTGTGTTGAAAATTTTGAGAATTATGTTAAAAGTTGATTTCTTCTTAGAGTTAAATCAAGCATGTAATTAAATGTTTTTTCGGATACATTTGTAGATAAAACACAGACTGATAATTATTCAAAAGCTAGAAATTAGATAACCAGTACCTACATGAACATGCATTCCACGAATTTGCATTACAAGCTTGCACTGGGTATCACGATAAAACCATGACCAAGGAAATGTATGTGCTCTAGATCTTGTAACTTGGTCAGCATTTTATCCATAATTATCCATTCCCATCCAAATCACTCTTTCACACTTTTATCGTTTACAGAAAGGTGTACAAAAAGTATGTGCTTCATATAATTTCATCAGACTATCAATGCTTAGTGGGTACATGACAATAAATTTCTGAAAAACAGGTTATCAATTGAAAAACCAACTGCATATTCCATGACAGTTACCTATGGATTGAGGAGGATGAAATCCACCTTCTTATCAAGTACAGATTGTGTGAGATGTCTTCAAAATGACAAAATAAAAAAAAAATATGGATGTTGAAGAAATCCATGTATATTGACTACAATTTGACAAGATATTAAGAATTGAGGGGTTGATAGGTTTGGCACCACCAGGATGTTCACAGCCTGCTTGGATGCTAGAAGTAAATTAATTTCTCAAGTTGAGCAAAGATGGTAGAGAACTTCAAAAGGTGAAGCTTGCCTTTGAGCTGCTTGAGCTGCACCTGATTGGTTGAAAAGTTAGGGCAAATTACCTGCACCAATCACCAAACATTGTTAAGAGAAATTAAAGTGATCCTACATAGATTTAGCCTTTCAGTCAAATTGCTCTGTTGGACTGGTAGAGGCATAGCAAATTATCATACCTATATAAAGGCTAAAAGTTTTTAAAGAAGTTGTGGTGCTGTGTCGGTGGGGGTTACAAGGTAATTCGGTTAAATCAACTAAGTTGAAATTGTAAATTGCCACCATAATGAGTTAAAAAGCTGACGTTTCAAGCGTTAGCCCTTCGTCAGAGTAAATATATCATACATGTACATTTTTTCAGTTTGTATTTCACTCTTTTGACAAAGGAGTAAATTTCTTAAAAAAAAGGATATTATTCTCTAACCTCTTACCTCTCAGTCTTATGTCTCAAACTGCTGGATAGTCATGAAAATTACATAAAAGCTACCCTGGAAGGCATTAAAAGCCCACTCCAAACATGCTATGCAAACTTTTATTGTGAATAAATTGAATGTATAGACAGGATAATAGTTACCTCTCTGGCATTGTAAGGCAGGGAAATGAAGCTTGTCACAAAAAAGATATATGCATTATGATGTGTGAGCAGAGAAACCTTCACAGGATCCTTGTCAAGGAAGGAGATTGACTTACTTATAAAATAGAATTTCCCTAAATCCTTTCGAATTATTGTTTTAAAGTGTCTCTGTCATGTGTTTATGGTGCAAAATAGTAAAAATTTTCCTAAATAAAGGTGCTTGGTTCTTAGAAGTATTGGTCTTTGGCTGCAAGGAATATCTTATAAATATGTAAAAAAATAAAATAAAAAGGTGCAAAAAAAGTGCAAGGCCTTTTCACATAAAATCACAAATTATTAGGCGACAACTTAATGAGGAAAACTTGTAGAGTAAAATTCACCAATAAAAGTAAAAGAAAAGCCTGATTTCTTTTCTGAGCAGTAAAGGCTATCCATCATACACATAGCTTTAAGGCATTCAGTGTATGGTGCAGCACAGGTGAATAGAGTCACATCACTTACTTGAAGGCATTTTGACAACTTAGCTGTGATGTTTTCATCCTTATCTATCTAAAAGGTTAATAGCTGTTTACACTATATACATACTGAGATTCACACAAAAGGCATCAAATAAATATTAATTAAAAAGTTGGTATAAGAGGCAGAGAACCAATCAGGAGCCCCGTATCATGTTTTATTGTGTGTGACCATATCTATCGGTTTACCAGCTACTAATGGTAAACCACACAGGAAGTTGGGAGAACATGAGTATGTTTGTAAACCATGAAGCAAGTGAAATTTATTTCAATTGTTAAAATTTAGCTGGTTAAATTTATTTCAATTGTGAGAACTTAGCTCAAATTCTTTACTCACATTTTTAGACCACACCACAACAAAAACGGCAAAATCTAAAGGCAACAACATCTAGTCCTGTCTTACAGCATTTATATTCTTAATTGCTACCCCACTCAAACAAATTTAAAACATTTATCATGCAATAAGCAACCAAAATTGGGGTGTCAACACAAGCTGTGTGCAACCCTCTTTATTGTGCCTTCATTGTCAAAACGGATAGAAATGATACGATGAACATATTGAAATCTTTGGAAATGAAAAAATACAGCAAGAAAAACCATCCTACAAAACAATCTATACTATACAATGGATATATGAAGTTCATATATCCATATATTTTTCATATATCCATTGTACCTGATTTATCATCACGGATTTATTACAAATCAACTTAACGGCCTGCTCCCAGTTGGCTTGTTAGCTCAATTGGTAGAGCGCTGCACTAGTATCGCAGAGGTCAGTGGTTTGAATTCCGTACATGCCTGATTTTTTTTAGGTCTGATTTTCGTATTGCATAAGTAGCGCTATCTAGTGCGAAGGATCGTGCATCATACGAATCTATACTATGTTTGTACAACAATAATTCTATACTGTGCTAACCTTTCATATAGTAGCAGGCAAATACTACATCCAAGAGAAGCTGATAACCCCTATTCACTGGGTATTTAATTCAGAGGGTGTAACGATCGTCGTAAGACATGAAGGAATATAAATGACAACAACTATTGGAGAAATTGCAATTTAAATGGTTTACATCTTTTATAATTGATTTGTTAACCTTTGACTTGTATCTGTTTCACAGTAACTTTTTCGTTAAACAGTCTCTGTGTGTATCATTGCTTTGTATCAAATGTCGTTTGCTTGATTTCCCAATACTACCAACTTGTGTGTAGATATTATTACCAGTAGGGCTGACTTCCCATGAAGTATTCTATAAATGTCATCTTTTTGCAAATTTTCCACAATTTTAAATCATTTAAATAATTTTCCTTATAAAAGATTAAACTTTGACTCCATCTCTACCTTACTATGTTATATAACTCACTACCAAATTTGACTTATTGTTGTTAGACCTTTTATGACACCTGCTGGAGTTACACTTTACTCTTTACTCTCAAATGTTTTTTTTTTGTCTGTAATATAGGATATGGGATTTCTAGCCCACGTGAAAAGCATGCAGGCCATAAATCCAAGTTGGAAAAATGAGGATCTGTAACAAACAATATTCACCAAGAAAATAAGGTAGTAAGATATTTAATGTATTCGTAGGTTCAGTTAAGGGGGGGAGGTTTATATTCAAACAAACTCTTGAATTTAATGTTAATTAATAATATTTAAAAATTTATAACGCACATTTTCCATGCAGATATGATCAAAAGCGCGGTACAATGCTACAAAAAAGTTAGAAAGCAAATTTAAATTCAAATGAACATAGTAACTAAAGCTAAAAAGTAAAATTTAGCAGGCCATACAGTGAAATACTGCACTGGAAATTGATCAGTCATGCCATTTTCGGATTTATTATGATACAGAGAAGACGACCGCATCATTAGGTGAATCATGATTGATAACTCAAGACCCTGAATTCCACTGTTAAATTTGGGCACTCGTCATTTAAGATTCAAACCTTCTTCTCAACATTCTCTTCATTTAAGATTCAAATCTTCTCCACAACACACTTCTCATTTAAGATTCAAATCTTCTTCTCAACACACTCGTCATCTAAGATTCAAACCCACCTCACAACATTGAACACTTTTACGTGGAATTATACATGTGATCGGATTCGCTGTAATCTACTTCTCAGTTATAAACAGTAGATACAAGTTCTTCTCGCACTAGTGCACTTGTTGGACAAATAATTTGGTAACTGAAACTAGATTAATACTACGCAACAAATACTTGATAGCGGCTATCAAGAAAACGTTGAGCATTTTTGCATGAATTACGGTCTTTTCGTCCAGAAGTCTTTTTGTCCAAGTCTTTTCGTCCAAAAGTATTTTCACCTTGGTCTGTTCGCTTACTTGTTAAGTCTTTTCTCGAAGCAAATAAATAACTTTTAGAAGGCTATATAAAGAACTTGTTGTGAGCCGCCGCCATCTGGGTATGTCGGACACGTAGTGATGTTACACTTCGTTGCCTTTTACGCTCAATAAACGCTTAACAACAAGCCTAAAATTCCCATTTCTTTCACGTGAAATAATTAAACGGCAAGCAAGTCTTTAGTTATGCCACTATTTAAGAAAATATATTGCGTTACAACTTCATTCATTCTCTGTGTATTAAATTAACGACGTTGAATTCGTAAAACGAATATTGGTGAACCAAAAGGGCAACGACTCACATTGATAAGTTCTTTATATAGCCTTATCTAATGATATAGTGTAATAGAATAGTTATTTATTTGCTTTGAGAAAAGACTTAACAAGTAAACGAACAGACTTAGGTGAAAATACTTTGGGACGAAAAGACTTGCGGATGCTCTTGGACGAAAAGACCGGACACCTGTTTGCATAATTACGAGTGGACCTTACCAAGGAAACGTTTATGCACCTTTACCGCATTATCTTCCAGAAGGAAGACCTGACTATTTATGTGGTGAGATTTAACGGATAATTTGCCATTCTCTATGTAATTCCATTTCACATTAAAGCTCATGGCAGGTATTTTCAATTTGGCTTCACACACGAATTTCCGCATTCACAAGTGCTACCGTCATGGAAGTGTTGATCAGAGGTTCGCCTCTGCAGACGTAACTAAGAAAAACGATAACCGGTCTAACGCAACAAAACATGTATGAATTGTCTCTATAACAAATTCACAACGATATCGACAATTTCCTTCTAAGAACTAAACACTAACAACGAAATCCAGATCATTTGTATAAAGCCATTTGCAAACAAACCCAACGCTATGAGGCGTTCATCCGCAAGTCGCAATTTACGAAGCCGAAACATTTCATGGCATTCAAGAGTTTCGACGTCCTAGCAATAATTTTAATCAAAAAATACCACGGCATGCTTAACCTGGATGAAACATGCATTCGTAGGCAGGGTCTCCACGCGTCTCGAGCACATTCTTACTTGTCAAAACCACAATACAAGCTTGGCAGCGAACAGAGAGTAGAAAAAGAACTGTCCTTTACTTTACTTACCCAAAGTGGTAAGCATCAAGCTGGCTACCGATGACATCTTCCCAGAAGGTCGGTGTTTTTGAAATTTACGGACCAAAAACTATAGAATAAGAGACGACGATGTTTGCGCAGTAGGGTTGTCAATACCTCTGGGTTGAACGATCCGAGGGTCATTCAAGGCCTTCTTTGACGATGCCACACGATTGCGCACTTATGCGCGATGACGTCAAAACAATTTCTCGCAGCGTCAAACCGAGGCTTGGTGGTGATCGCTTCGCATGTTTTGTTGGTGTTCAGAGAAAGAATCAATTCCCCTTGTCTGTTTTTTTCACTTTTTGTTCGAAATGCCTCGATGGTGTATTGCCTAGGACTGGGACGAGGGAAGAAAGATGGCGGTCACGCCGAAAATGTGCTCGTAGTATCTTTATAGTTTCGCAGCCCTAGTGGTGGTTAAAATATTTAATAACCATTCACAATGCCT